CTTTCCTCTTTATAATATTAGTATAGCTTAGGTATAAGTTGTCCGATGACGTAGTGCGTTAGCGCATTTGGTTTAAATAAATACTGCACAACAAGGACATACATTAATACTTATTTTTACATAAATAAGTACAAACGACAAACTCATCTCTGGCCAGCGATTTCTTCCAGGCAAACTAGCATTACATAAAAATAGAACAATAAATAGCCGATTGTGCATACAACTAGACAAATAATAATAATTTAAAAAGATCAAAAACAAAAGAAGGACCGTTTAAAGGTACGAATAAAATGCTCAGACACAAGCAACAACCAGAGTGCGAGAAACGAGAAAAAATAGAAAAATAACATTGGTAAGGACCGTTTACAGGATGGGTGACCAAAACATTATTATCTTGAGCACTGTGCACAACACTGGCATAATGCACATTAAGCCGTTAGTCCTGGCTGCATCAGCAACGTTAACACCCACCGATCCGCATTAAGCCGTAGTGGGTTATGGCCTATTGATATTATTCGATTCGTCTGCATTCATAGGAAAAAAAATTTCGACCAAAATACTTCCCACGCAGACGAAGTCGTGGGCACAGCTAGTTAATTTATAAAATTATAGGGAGGTAAAGTTTCTAGTTATTTTATTTGTTTGTTCGGGGATTAGAAAATATTGATCCGACCGGTAGAGCTTTTTCACCTACGTGAAGCTACGCAGATGATATACGCTATAATTTACAAGCGCGAAGTCTTGGGAAAACAACTAGTGAAAAGGAAAGTTTTGATTGTTTGTTTGCAGTGGCTACAAAACAATTTGACTGATTTAAAAAAAATCTTTCTACGGAAGGCTACGTCATACGCGTGTGACATCTTACTAATATTATAAAATCTATAATAAAAATAAAAAACAAGCTTTTATTGGTGTGCGCTAAAACGTAAATAATAATTTTATGCAAGACGAGTTCATAATGTTAATGTACTTATAATCAAAAATTTCTTTAAAGGTAATTTACTTGAAAAGCTTGTAGCGCTAATGAAATCGGTGACGAGGAAATACATATAATTTTCACAAGATTGTAAAAAGGTAAAGTTTCTACGGTGTTTGTTCGTAGAGGTAATCTTCAGAAATACTGATCGGATGATTAAAATTCTATCATCTACGGGAAGCTACATCATATGAGGTTGAAGTAGATCAGGGGTGGACAAATATTTTGATAGTAGGGCCACAATGCAGATGAAAGTTTGACTTCGGGCCAAACAGTTTTTTTTTTCATATATATATATTATGTATTTAGAATAGGAAGCGCTGAAAAGAGCGGTTGTCCGGGAGAAAATTTTGCCTCGCACCGGCCCTGATAATGTGTAAATTATTGCCTAATATTTTATCTAAAAATTGTTATGCACTTTATTTACACACAGATCGAATTGATGACCTCCTTTTTTTGAATTCGGATGAATAGCGCCTTCTTTTTTTGGCGATCAAAAGACGTAATTTTTTTATTTTTTGAGAATTATGTTTAAATATAAAATTGATTTAGTTTACTGAAAGTTATTACTTTGTACTTAGTTTAAGTAGGTACTATTTGTGTTGGTTACCAAGTGAGCCCGCATGTTACCTACAACGATCGATTCCACGAGCCCCTTAATTATTTAGCTAGTGCGTTCCAATTAAACAGTGACGCGTTGAACTTTAATAAGTAACAAAGGACGAAAATCATTCATATACATTGTGGCAATGTAAATGGATGATTTGCAAGATGATGCGAAGGTCAACTTTCGTAGTGACCGGTAAGAGGATTGACACTCTCGAAAACCTCCTTGCTTTGGGAGTAGTTGTATACGTTTATTAAGTATCCTTAAATGTATGATAAGGATGGATGGATAGCTGCTCCTACAGAAAGATAGGTTCTGATTGAATCGACTTGGTTTACATTGATTTCCTTGGTTGCTTTACGTTGATTAATTTTTTACGGCAAAAGAGTTGCGTTGTAATATTTAGTGAATTTAGTGTGACTTCCATAGTAAAAGTCCACTCCCCGAAGTCTTTTTACTTAATAATCTTCCACCTTATATAGAGGTATATCATCAGCCTATGTTTCGTCAAAGGGGCACAGGCCTTTCCTATGGATGGAACCAAATAGTTTAACGCGCCTATAAGTCAGCCAGTTACAAAATTATGGATGCAATAATTCTTAAAGTACTTGTTCAAATTTAATGTTATTTAGAAATGTTGATGCCCTCTTGGTCACTGAAATTTTAAATTTCTACTTTATTCCATAACGGAGTTAGAGGGGTCAAAAATGTCCCGAATGCTTCGAGAAAAGGATGGTACGGTCATGGCCTTTTTACTTTTTGCTCGACTTGGCTGGGGCACTTCCATGCTCCCAGATCAACTGTTTCATATCATTGGCAATAGTTAGTATTACGATTTTGTATAGAACAACTAATGAATTTTCCGCAAAATTAGTGTTACTTCCGTAGTTGTTGTTCAGTATCCACCCCAAGAAGGCCAGGGGCCTTATTGTCCAATTTTAAAATTCATGGACTTCGCGCTACTACTATTCGACATGTGATATTGATTGTGATCGCGAAGTTTTCTTGTAAGATCAAAAGCGATTGCGACTTTAAAAGTTACGTAATTATTTTGAAATAAGACTATTAGACTACTGGCACATAATAATCTTTCACCTTATATACATTTTATTTACCGCTTATAGACAAGAATAAGACATAAGGTTGTCTAAATACCTTTACTTTTATGTTCACTGTATAACAATGGGCCCAACTACTTACTATAAATGTTGATTCGACGATCCATTCTTTTAAATCACAGGTGTGGTTCTTTATGGACGCGGTGACAAATGAAGCGTGTAATAGCTTCTTACTTCTTGTGCTCTAGTTACAAATTTATGGGTTGAAATTCTCCATAGCCGAATGGTTCGCACGCCGGTTTCTAGATGAAATGGACTTTTCTACATTGTCTGGGTGTTGTGGAACCTTCTCGGTCTCAAATACTCTATAATAAGAGGGCTTTCGATACTCAAATTGGAATTAGAGCTTCCAATATGGAGCGGAGAAAGAAAATAATGCTTATTAATTTAATTCCGATTAAAAAGGACGTAAAACCAGTCAAGTGCGAAACTTAGGAGATGTTTCGGTTTCTTTTCACAACATATTTCACTTTTTCTATTCGTCTCCCTTTTTCTTACAATTCTAATGCAAATAGTCTAAGAGATCGTGACAAAAAATTTGCAAGAGATTTTGAAAGATTGATATTTTTGAAAAATACATAAATCCAATTACACACGTGCTTAAAAGTATTTGTTTTTGCCGAGCACCAAAGAAATTTAAAGAATATTGATGAAAATATGTCAAACTTTAGGTTCAAAAGTATTTCAAGGAGCCTAAAACGAATATTTTCAAATAAAAATGTATGACACGAAAACATGTTCAAATATCACGTTTAATTTTAACAAATAATGTTTACCTTTAATACATACTTAGTTTTATTAACCTATATATTTGTTTTATTTCCTCGCAAAAAGCATTGAAAAATGTTGCAAGAAACTTGAGCGTAAAAGGTTTTTCGAGTATGACACGAAAACATGTTCCAATATTGCGTTTAATTTTAACAAATAATTTTTACCTTTAATACATACTTAATTGTTTTAACCTATATATTTGTTTTATTTCCTCACAAAAAGCATTGAAAAATGTTGTAAGAAACTTGAGCGTAAAAGGTTTTTCGAATTCGTGCCAATGAAAATGTGCCAATCAATTTGGCCCTTATTCGTAAAGCCTTACTTTCCGCACTCGTATCTTAAATAACTATTATGAAAGTCGTAATGTCAAAGGTTATGTTCGTTGTTTGATCATCTCAGATAATGTTACTATTTGGTTTAATCGTTACAAATATTAAATTTTTAGTTCTATACAAAACGATGACTCTACAAAATTGGACATCATTAAAAATATCAATAGAAAATAAAATAATTCTTTGAAATCTGCGACTCTTCTTATTTTCATTCTTTGATGTATTTTTAGTGTGTGTACAAAATTTTGAAGATATTTTACGATATTATTTTAACGTAGACGTTGTTTAACAATATTATTATTACCATTTTGAGGTGAACACTAGCATTATATTTTCCAGTAGGTATGGCGTTGGGAATTCAAAATTAATCAAATATTGTACAATAGCTGATGCTCTAGTTTTATTTCTTGTGGTAACTATCATTGCAGCATTACATTAAATTTCACCTTTTTATAGAATAACAATGCTGTAAGTTTTTTTTTAACTAAGTTCCTACACATATAACTATGTATAAAACATTTAAAAGAGGAAATATTTTTATCTTTTATGTGATTTTAAAATAATTTTCAAAGTTACGCCTATAATTGAAATGTTGAAATACTAAGGCAATATAAAATACGAAAAAACGTAACACATATTAATCCTCAGTGTGCATCAGGTGTTGCGCGGTATGCTGTATCGTATCTCACGAGGTGTGTCACATCAAGGAGTTTCAATAGTTTAAATTTAATAACTTATTCTTAATATAAAAAGGAGACTAAATAGCTCAGATTGCACAATCTGCAGTTCAGACTCAACAATTCTCAGAAATTGGTGTGAAAATGAGCTCCGAAAAGGAGTTTCGTAATATTTAAAAGTTAATGTATTACTAAACTATTAACAATTATTTTATAAATAAAAAAATACTCACTTTAATTTAGTGGATCAAACACATACAGCAAACGTTGCAGATGTTCTAACGTTTGACGTCTCCACTGCGCACTGAATGATGTATACCCTTAGTATTTAAACTGTATACTTTTAGCTGAAAAATCAAGCTTTCGAAAGCTCATGTATATTTATGTCACGAGCTCTCCATCTGAAATGTATAAGTGCCATCTCTTCTTGCCTTTTCACCATCGTCTTATATGTAAGGGTGGTAATTTAAGTGATAAAAAAGATCAATAAATTAATTTTCCTATTTTATAATTTTACAGTAGCATGGCACAGACCGATGTCTGCAACTTCGCGGCAAGAGGAGGAATTGATGCAGAAGAGTGCACGCGCCTTACAGTCTGCAACAGACCCACTGGAGAAGCTCCGTCTGTTGTGCCTCTCGCGTGGTGCCTCTGGCATCATGGGTCTTGGCAGGTCAGTGTTAATCAGTGTTGCCGAACGCACGGCCATTTAATACGGCAATCGGGCAGTGGCAACTCCTCTCCACCCTCCGCGAGAGGAATTCCAGCGCATTGGAAGAAACCGAGTGCTCTTTGTAGGATACCGGGATCTTTAGGTGAACCGCAGCGGGTTTTACCAGTTAGGCCTTCCACATTAACCTGCCCTTTTCAGGGCAACGTATTGCATTCACAATGCTATACCAAAAAAAAACTTAACGAAAATTGCTGAAAAAATATACTTTGTCCATTGAACCCATGACTTGTCGCAAACTGGGCGACTGGGTGATCCGGGGATTGCTAAAGATCCATGACCTTGTTCGAGCGGTTGTGTTAGAGTTGTTTGAGGTTCGAGAGACAAAGTGGATTTTTTATCATTTTTCATTAAGAAAGTTATAAAAAGTTCGTTATATTAATAAGTATATTTAGAATTCCAAGTCCAAGGTGTACTGCGGATTTTTATTATTTTACGTTTATGCAACGAGTCTTTTTCTTTCTAACGGATTCCAATACGAAGATTCTATTGGTTTCGTATATTTAATATGAAACATTGAAAGGCTTTCCTAAATTATTTCTTATAGAGAACCACACATTACTAATAAACTTTAAGTAAATCCGCAAGCGGATCGCGAATTTGCTGGACTTATCGACAATTTTCAATTTTTTGCTTTTAGAAGGAATTTAAGAATAAATGGTAAGAAAATAACAAAAACACATTGTTATTGGCCCTTTAACGAAAAATTAAATTCCAATATTATTTATAATATTCCATAATTGATTATTTTTCTGTTTAGATTCCTCCATCAGTCCCAATTACTACAAACAAATTTTGATAAGAAGATATTTGGAATAACACGCTTACGCGAAAAACACGCATATTTTAAAATTTGATTAGTTGAAAATATTTAATACAAATATTTAAATCCTTAAAATAAGGAGTAAGAGGAAAAAGCATCATCATATTATCACAGTCATACAGCCAGTTGCACAAACGTTCATTAAAATTTTCATTCGTTTTAAGCGACATTACCCATACAAATTTGTCAATAATTAGAGCTTAAAGGCGTCATTAAACCTTAATGGATGTTTGTGCAACTGGCCGATAGTTTCTTTTAAATTCAATTTTTTATATTCAATCGAAGTGTTTAAAATATTTATATGTTTTGTGTTTAGGATCTTCCGAAGAATGGACGATGATGGAAGCAAGCAACTGAATAAGGAGGAATTTATAAATGGCCTCAAAGAGACTGGTTTAGAACTCAGCAATGACGTAAGTGTCATTATTATTAGCCAGTTTAAATTGTTCACTGTTTCAGATTTATAGTCTAAAGCCGTTCAGTGGTTAGACTAGACACAGATATCTATTGACAATTCTTGAGATGAATAACACTCGTCAATAAAAGTGATACTTTGATAATTTTAATATTAATGTATTACATATCTTTAACAGACACAAAGAGTCATTCCTTGTATCATGTTTTCAGGATGCTGAGGAGCTCTTCAAAAAGTTCGACACCGATAACAGCGGGTCCATCAGCCTCGATGAATTCATTAGGCAAATCCGCGTAAGTGATATTGTCTGTATTGTAGGTACTGTCTATGTCAACTTTGATGGTCAATTCATTTTCTAGTCTCTAAATCTGAATGTTCTTTTGACGTTTCACTATCCAAGTTTTTAATTAAGTTAATGATATATTAATAATCGCATTGTGATTCATATTTTGCCATTTCTCCACTATAAAGCTGCTTTGTTTTCATTATTAATGCTCAAGTTTGTGAAAATTTTGTATATGTTTGTTTCTCTTTCAAGCAAAAACGATTGATCGGCTTTTATTAAAATTTGGTATACGGATAATTCTAAATCTGATTTGATGAACGGTTCCCTAGCGATAAATATGAAATGCCACGCGAGCAAAGTCACTAGCGGTAACCCATTAATTTATAAATGTAAAGCTGATGGATTAGCTGATTACTAGTCAGATTTGTGAAAAACAAAGTTATTTTGTAAACCAGTCAAAAATGTAACTACTTTGTAGATCAATTTGTGTATCCTAATATTAATTAAAACTAGATTATTGTATTTTTTAATCTGTACCTAGACACGTGCAATGGTGTTTGTAGTGTAAACATTTTGATATTGTTTGGGGTCGTCCATTAATCACGTGATGTTTTTTTCAACATGGTTCCTTCCGTGATATAATTTTAATTGGGGACATAAATATTGATATCGATCCATCTAGTGCTGATAGAAACGCATCCTCTTACTTAAACTTAACCTCATCCCTGGGCCTACTTCCTTCTCATACTTTGCCCACACATAAATACACTTGCCTTGACCACATATTATTAAAAACTAACTATCCAGCTATCACTGTTGTTGTTGAGGCTACAGTTACAGATCATTTTGCTGTGGTTTTGTCTCTCTCCACAAAACTGGAATTATACAATCTTTCAGAGACACTCTCAAAAGTTGACGAAGAGAAACTGACCTCTAATCTGCTGAATATAAATTTTGACACACTTTATGGGTGAACGATCCAAATCAGGCGATGGAAAGTTTCATAAACTCTATTAAAAAGTCAATTCATAATAGCACCACAACATACACTCCAAGTAGAAGGCGTAAACAGATTAAGCCTTGGATGACTTCGGGACTGTTGAGATGCCTAAGAAATAGAGACAACCTTTATACCAAATGTAGAAAGGCCCCTGAAAATGACACTCTTGCGACTACCTATAGGCGATATAGGAATTTTTGCAAATCATTGATGAGAAATGCAAAGCGCAATTTTGAAAAATCTGAATTTGCTTTAGCTGGGAAGGATCCCAAACGTATTTGGAGTGTGGTGAGGGGTGTTGCAAATTTCAACACCAAAACAAAGCCTAACTCGGAACTATTGCAACTGAGACCTGATCCATTAGAAGCAGCAGATGAAGTAAACGCCTACTTTATTGGTGTCGGAAAGAATCTTGCAGAAAATTGCCTACTGAGCGCCCCTGCCCACTGTCAATCTGATACTACTGTCTCAAGCTCAGGTTCTCGAAACAATTCTTTTGTGCTACTCGGTACTGATAATGAAGAAGTTGAAAGAACAATCATTTCGCTCAAGTCTGATAAAGCTGTTGGATGGGACGGTATATCGGCTGGTCTTCTAAAAAAGTATAGGCATCTTCTTGTCCCTCCACTGACGTTCATTTTAAACCTTTGTTTATCATCTGGCACTTTTCCTGGTGTGCTCAAGAGAGCTATGATCCACCCAGTCTACAAAAGTGGCGATCGGAGCCTCCCAAGTAACTACCGCCCCATTTCAATTTTACCAACTATCTCTAAAATTCTTGAAAAGATCATGAATACTAGACTTATAAAATATCTTGAGAATAATGAGTTGCTATCCAAGTCACAATTTGGATTTCGTGCCAAAAAGTCAACTTCTGATGCTTTGCATGAAGTTAGTGATTACTTGGTGCATAACATGGACCGGGGTAGTAAGTGTTTAGCTGTTTTCCTGGATCTGGCCAGGGCTTTTGATACTGTCTCGATACCTCTATTACTGGCAAAGTTAGACAAAATAGGAATACGAGGTACACAACTTTCTCTTTTTGCTGATTACCTTAGTAGCCGAACACAATATGTAAGATTGTCAAGCAAAGTAGTCAGTTCTGATTCAGATATATTGTATGGAGTTCCCCAGGGAAGTATACTGGGTCCTACACTGTTTCTTGTATTTATAAATGACCTCTGTGACCTCAAACTCCAAAATGGAAAAATAGTTACCTTCGCAGACGACACGGCGTTGCTCTTCTCGGGAGATTCTTGGGATGAGGTCTTTCTTTACTCCCAGAATGGTTTTAATTATGTATGTACATGGCTAAATAGAAATTTATTATCACTAAATTGTGTGAAAACTAAATATATGCCCTTTGCACTGCGTACTAGGGGTTTGCCTCCGGGACATCTGTTTAATATTACGGCCCACTGCTGTGGTCTTTTTGATATTACAAAATGTTCATGCCAAACTATAGACAGAACAGATTCTGTCAAATATCTTGGTGTTATGTTTGACAGTGGACTAGTGTTTTCCTCTCACGTCAAATCTCTATGTGGACGAGTAAGGAAGTTTATTTTTATATTTAAGAAATTACGCCATGTAGCTGATACGAATGTTCTCAGAGGAGTCTATTTTGCATTGTGTCAATCTATACTAATATATGGGATAGGGGTTTGGGGTGGAGCTGCCAAAACACTTCTTATTGAACTGGAAAGGGCGCAAAGAGCTGTGTTAAAAGTTATCTACTTTAAGCCCTTTCTATATCCTACAACGGATCTGTATAGATTAAGCGAAGTACTGACAATCCGTCAACTTTTTATCCATCATACTGTGATTAGACAGCATGGTATCTCGGAACTGTTGTATCTTCATAAACATCCTCGTCGAAATCGACATTATCGCATTGTTCAAGCAGTGGGTTGTAAAACAGCCTTTGCAGAGAGATTCTTCGGGTTTTTGGGTCCGTTTCTATACAATAAACTCCACAACAGACTTTCCCTCCATTCTCTAAATAAATGGTCATGTCAAAAAATACTTAAAGAGTACCTCATGACATTGTCATACTCGGATACCGAAGATTTATTAAAAATAATCTGTTAATTAATATTTCTGAGAAAAGTTAGTAATGTTTGAAAATAATACAATAGAAGCAGATAATTATATAGAATAAATATATCATACAGTGAGTCTTTTGTTATCTCTGACAAGATGTTGTAAGCATGTTTTAGAATTTTAGTATGTTGTGTAGTAATATAATAATAACGTCTGTTAAATTAACATTAATGTTTAACATATGGATAGTGAAAATAAACCTTATAAATAAACAATGGGGGGCCTGGTGACCTGTAATACGGGGTTGAACCTAAACAGGCACCAGTATCCCACAAATAACGTGTCAATAATTAATTAATAAATGTACATCCTTTTGTAAAGTTGTTTGTGGTGAGAAATAAAGTTATTATTATTATTATTATTATTATAATAACATTTTTTACCCCCCCCCCCTCCCCCTTGGTGAGACATGGTGAGGTTTAAGACTACCCCGTCCCTGCTTCAACCAAATCACGTGTATTAAAAAAAAATAAAAATTCCTAATTTTTGACGTCGCTTTTCGGTTTAATGATCGCGCGTCGAGAAAATAATAAATACACGTGATATATTACTACACCCCCCCACCCCCCTTGTCGTATTTCGTGATTTTTGACAAATCACTCCCCCCCTTTCGAGCCTCACGTGATAAATGGACGGCCTCTTTCTATTATCATAGATTTCTATACAATTTCTAGAGAAAAATAATGCTTAGGTATTATAGTTAGTCACTCAGAACGAGTATTATGTTGCAGCCACCGATGTCTGACTCTCGTCGAGCTATAGTAGAGCAGGCATTCAAGAAGCTGGATAAGACTGGAGATGGAACTATCACTATCGACGATATTCGCGGGGTTTACTCTGTAAAATCACACCCCAGGTAACTGTTAATAGCATAGAAATTAATTAACTGATTGATGATTCCTGAGAAGTGTTCTTAAATTCAAATGCATGGTATTCTTTTTGTCTTCATACTCTGAAGGAATATCTTTTCCTTTACATATAAGCGACTGAACTCTACAGTTTATAAAGTATTTCTCTTAAATATTATCAATATTGTGCTGTGGAGCGTGTGTCCAATTTTGAAGTGCACTTGGTTAAGAAACTTATCATAAGATTCGAAATTAATGAGGCTAATATTGTGGCGTCAAAATTTTACTTGGCTAGAAATCAGTAGGCAGCAAGACACGATATAATGTTAATATTCTATTGCAAAATGTATTAGAACATTTTATATATATACACATATGATATTTTCTTGTTGTCCTAATAATGCCGAGAAAGATACAATGATTTCCTGAAAACCTAAAAAACATACAATCACTAGGGCAATTCTGTTAATGTTAGCATAATTATGGAAAGTCAATAGCATTTCAACTACAACCCTTTATGACAGACCTTTGATTTGTGAGGAAGATCATGCGTTGCACTATTTTTTAAAATTAATTTATAATATTGGACTTCAGGTCGACTATTGACTATTGAGATGCGATTATTACTTAATAACGAGGACCATCTAGCAATAAACTTTAGCAATTTTAAATACCATACCATTTAACTTGAAGAAAAATTGAAAATTACTCGGGATTTTTTTTATTATTCGTATTATGTTTCCAAATATTTATATAGATATATCATTCTAGGTATATGAGTGGTGAAGAAAGTGCAGACACAATTATGAATAAGTTCCTCGCGAACTTCGAGTCTGAAGGCGTCGTCGATGGGAAGGTATTTGGGTTTTATTATTATTTATCATGAACTGGAAAGTTACCTCTCCAAAACTGTCAACAAAATTAGATTCTGTATTTAATATTTTTTTCAACTTTTTTAAAGAAATTAAATAAATACTATTTATCACAAAAATGGATCACTTTCGGATACATAATGTGAGATGAAAATGATTGTAAATGACCCTTATGGCCCCGTGAAGGATCCTGTCTAATTACCCATAACCCTGTATAATGGTACATTTTCAGGTGACTTTGGAAGAGTTCATGAATTACTACAGTGGCATAAGCGTGTCTATAGACAACGATTGCTTCTTCGACTTGATGATGCGTCAGGCGTTTAAGCTCTAAGTGTCTCTGTCACACGTGTATGCACATCACGGGGGAGAAAGGGACAAACAAACGCATATCACGTTTGTTCAATGCTGCGCACCAAATATTATACTTTTTCTAATGTTGGTTATAACGATATAGTTTATTTATTTATTATTTTTATGGCAATTGTGTGCGATATGATATGTTAATTTCAATAAAATCTCTACTAATTAAGTTGTCTTTTTTTTTATATTTAATATTATCTATCCTAATATTTTAAAGAGAAAAGATTTGATTGTTTATTTGGCTCTGAAACTAACAAACCAATTTTAAAAATTCTTTCATCTACGGCAAGCTATATGATGCAAGCGAAGTCGTGGTAAAAAACTAGTTTTGCTAAATAGGGCTGAGCATAGGTAGTAAATCTATAAAATTTCTTATGATAGATTTATCATCTCTAATTATTTACTCCGCGATCGTCTTAATTTGTAGATTCATTAGATAGAAATGTCTTTAACCAAAGGCATGTTATACACTATGGCGTAACCAGAAAGTAAAATATAATAGATCATAAATTTAATTGTTCATATTTCAAAACTTCTACTAAATCTATTTCAATGTTCGTAAAAAAATTAAAAAAGCAGTGGTGTTGCTCCTAGAACAATTATTTCTGAAACGTTTCTTATAGTCACTGATATGATAATACAAATGCTTATACGAAGAATTTTAAATAATATTCATTCACCTCCTTCGACCAATAAGCTGAGGTGGGAATAGATTTATTACTATATATATATAAATCTATGAATCCCTGAAGAAAACCATATTATATATATCTCAGATGAATTATTAGTTAAGGACCCGGGTTCCGGCAAAGAGTCCGCCGGTTCCAGCCGCTTGGACTCTTTGGCGGAACCCGGGTCCTTCCCCGCGCCCTCCCGGTAGGCCGGTCTCGCTTAAATCTGTTCTTTTCTGTTCTGGTGAGAGGTCGAAAAGACCTGGTTTAAGGCTTAAGGTTGCATTTCATCAGCGTTATAGTTATTTTATCTGACTTAATCTGAGATATTATGAAGATAAGGAGCTATCTATGATAAAAATCCACCAAGAAAGAATATTTTTATTATGACCGATTGAGCTAAAATTGCTAATACTGGCTGAAACGGTAGTTCTTTTTATTGTTTTTAGAGTTTCTTACTTACTCTATGATTATATTTTTCATTATATCCATAGAGAACATACCATATACTTTACTCTTTAGTAAAAACTATATTTAGGGCAATGATTTAATAAGTTTTCGTTGTTTATATATGTATTAACGAAAGGATTTATTAAAGTACAAGGTTTTAATTTGATTATATTTAACAGACAAGTAAGTTTAATAAATCTAAATTTATGAGTTTTGACTATATCCTGAATTACATCATAACTATGTACAGCAACAAATAATTCGTGCTTTATTTCTCAGAATGAGGAAACGCTATGTGTAATTTATTGTATGCATTAGCACAGACGATAGTTTGCGCCATACAGACGGTAATAAGACTATTTCTGACTATCCTCATTATGACAGAGAACTTAATCCGTATGATCCTCCAAAATGCATATAACTTAATATCGTTCCTGCTGCAGCTAATATCACTATTACCTATATGTATAGTGTTCATAGTGACTTCCCGTTTGAAATGCCTGTTGTGTAGCGGTGGATTATGCCCATTTGGAAGAGCCAATTGTGATTGTTTAATGTCCATAGTAGCATTAGCCATATTATTCTTTGTGTTAAGAGCTACTGGTGTTCTGGACAAATTATTGAATAATTTTGGATATGATAAGACCAGATCATTATCGTCTTTAAATGAGTCAGGTAATATGAAATTTCAATAAGGTAATATTCTAAAATCTTTCTTTGGATATACTTGCGAAATATCTATTATAACAGTGAAACTGATATCTAGCAACTTTCACGTTCAGTTTTGCTGTCCCTGTGTCCAAGATTTCAAATCCAAGATTCGCATGTACAAACGGCAAAAAATCTCGCGAAAATCACTACCCTGCACGTGTTTCGCTCACTCCACGGAGCAGCCACAGGAGTTGTTAGACTTTACCACACCAACCGCTAAGTGGTTGACTCTATCAACAAGTCTTTCAGATACTGGATGTGGAAGTTGCTAAATGTCAGTTTCAGTGTATCATGCCATTTCTAACCAAAAAACAGAAAACAATAACGTATCCTCAAAATGAAATACATATAAGTACGTAACTATTTTTACTAACACGAGGTTTAAACTGAAAATTGTGTTATTCTATCGAGTTTAATTGGTACTTGATTACTTTTAGAAATAGCCGAAGAGTTACCGTCGTTCGACAAATAGAATGGCAGAAAGTTTACGGTTGGCGTCCAAGATTGCTACTGGAATTGAAACTTACCGACATTGGAGTTATTTTGCTCGTTCTTTTTTAATTGAAATGTTTTTGATTGTAATATAACTATGTTTTGTCATATATAACGACTGGCATACATTTATATGTAACTGAAATGAGTACATACGAATCATCGCACATATGTACGGCCCAAGCGGTAGAATTCTAATGTCACTTATCATTATTTTGTAAGATGTAAAGAAAATTTGTTTCGCCCGCTTCTTTCGCATAGATGTGTGGTAATTTATAGCAAAGCCACAAGATATTGTGCACCTATTAAGAAATGTACCCAGATTAGGTGTGATGATAGGAAGTATCTTCAAATATTTTTGCTCTTCCTTAACCTTTGATGCTGAGGTGTATGAAGTTGTTTAAATGATTTGATTTTAATTCAATACTATTATATTTGTTTTGTTTAAAGTTAAATTCGTAACAGAAGTTCCTCGAATCACAATGTATTCGCTTTAATTACAAAAAGTAATAAGAGTTATATCAAGGGAACTCTTTCGCGAAATTATTTATATCTACATATATTTTTTTAAAAGGACCATATCACACCAGCAAAGGAGTGGATTTTTTTTCGCACCTCTCGGATTCTATACTTTTTTTTTTGAGTTATTATTTATAAGACTTTAGCGTGTAGAATAAGGGATTCTAATAATTTTAAATAAAATATATTTTTCTCATTAGTATTATTTTTACTTTCATCGTCTTCTAATTTCAGGTTTAGGTACATTTATTAGGTACTTATGGAAAAGTCTCTGTGATTTAGTTTTACTTTTTATTATTATGATGTACAACAGTGTAATAGCTTTTGTCCGCGACTGCGTTCGCGTGGTATAGTTACTTTGGGCAGTATTTCTAAAAACGCTAAAACAAATAGCTTATGAATAATACCTGACATAAAGTTTCATGATTTTGAAAACGATACGCAGTTAAGAATCAACGCCATCTAGTATAGCAAAGCTTAAAGATTTTTCTATCTAATGACCATAAACTTAGAAAGTTACACTCGATAAGTTTTTTTACAATCTTTTTATTAATATTATAAATGTGAAAGTTTCTTTTTTTGAATGTTTGGATGTTTGTCGGTCAATCACGCCGAAACTACTAAACGGATTTTGATGAAATTTAGTATACAGATAGGGTATTAGCTGACTTAGATAATAGGATACTTTTTATCCCACTTAACATTTCCCTAGGGTCCACGCGGGCGAAGCCACTTGCGAAAGCTAGTTCAAAATAAATACTAAGGCCTAAATCGAGCAAGTCCAATCATTATTGGAATGTCAAGGCGATTAAGTATTTAAACAATGTCAAGTAGATTATTTTAACAGTTCATATTAATTAATCATATCACGAAGTTAATTAAATTACATAGTTAAAAATTAAATTATAAAAAAAATAATTTTATCACTCAACCTCGATCAAAACAGTGTCTTGTAAAAATACTACTTAACGCCATCTAGTAGAGCACAAAATATATAGTTTGTGTTTTTTTTGTATTTAAAATGGTTTTTACTTGAATATTTTTAAAATATTTTATTTTAAATGTTATTTTAAAATAAAATAATTTATATTTATGTACTCAAATACAAATTTATATTACAATATAAGGAAATGCCAGTTTTCGGGAAAAATATAACGTATTACTTTCCTAGGGTCTTAAGCTACCCAAACACCAATTTTCATTGATATAGGTCCAAAAATAAAGAAGTTTCATACCAACGTGTTCACCCTTTTTGATCCTCTTTAGGGTGTAATATCCAAAAATCCGTTCTTAGTATGTAATAAGACGAATGTAACCTCCAAATTTCAAGTGTTTACCATATAGAGTAAAAGTATATATTGGGGAAGTCATGACCCACCACCCCAGATTATATGCCCACCACACGGATCCATTGTGGGTTGGTGGGTGTTAAATGACTGCATATGCAGCTAACGGACGAGGACGGGCGTCTTCTCACGCGCGAAAGAGTTGTGGTCACTCATCCTATGACCGGCCCACGCGAAAGTTACTTTACAAATGAAATGCAGACTGAGCATGTTAGGTAATGACTAACAGTGTGATCGGATATGGGTTAAGTAGTTATGAAAGAACGTTCAAAACACACTTGACTAATATCTTATAACCTACAGTTAAAATTGCTAAAGTTAATAGTTCCGAAAAACATTAAAACACACTGTTTAAATGATTTATATTTATTCAAATATTGTAGGGTCTTGCCAATATACAATAATGTGAGGCTCGCCATATTGATTGATGAACACTACAATATAAATAAATTGATTCATTTTTGTAACTTTCTCGATGTTTTAGGTCGAGTAGGTATAAACTCGACCTAAGGGGGCGTCCATAAATTACGTGAGATGTTTAAGAGGGGAAGGGGTCGAGGCAAATCTCATCTAATCTTACGTTGGAGAGAGGGGGGGTCTCGGCAAATATCACGTAATTTTTTTTCTGATTGAATCAAAAAAAAAATATTATTTTGGTCCATTTAATCCAGATTGTACATGCTTAAGATTTAATCTTAAGCGTAATCGTTTACGATTAAGGTCATTCACTAATTCGTTCAAAAGAAAATAATTTCATTCATACTTCGACGCTATACATCTACTGAATGTCAAACCACCATATTTGTAGGGTTCGAACGATACTTTCGATACCGAGTAGGTATCGATACTTTCAAGTAATACTCGATACTACAACAAGGCAAATACTCGCAAGTGCTCATCAAATTGCATTTTGAAAAATCTCACGTGAGATTGGGGATGGGGGAGGGGGTTGAATAAAATCTCACGACATCTCACCAGGGGGGAGGGAGGGACAGAAAATTTAAAAAACACCTCACGTAACTTATGGACGCCCCCTAAGACATCGAGAAAGTTACAAAAATCAAAGAAATATGTGTTACCTAAATTTAATAACTATTACGGAAAAAGAAATTGGAAATATCTGTTACCGGAGATATTTAATAAAATGACTGATGAATCTGTATCTTATTAAGTGAAGAAGCGTAATTTTAAAAATTATTTGAAAAAATACTGTCTTGATAAAAGTAATAATGATTACATTATATAAATTTCTGTTCTTATGTATTGTAAAGTAAGATTAATTGAGTTTGCTTGGTATACCTTCTGTCAATTGTATTGTAGAATAATTTAATAGCTTTATGTAACTACTTTAAAAATATTGTTGCCGACAGCCTTACCATGTTTTTGATATATTATTACTGGCCTCTTTAAGAAGGCTTTGATACTTATTTTTAATTATTTTTTTTTACATTTTGATTTTGACTATGTATTCTCTTGTATCTTGCTTTTGTACGTTGGTCAACAATAAATCTTTGCTTGTGCTAAAAGTTATATTATTAATTATCTGCTTGCTGTCGATTACAAATATTATTGTAATTACTTTAGAATGTTTGTATCTGAACTCCACCGCCACTGATAATCCGAAAGGACTTTTGTTCGTGCTTGATGATTTATTTAATTTTGCGTGCAGAAATATGTATTATTATTGGTATTATATGTATTATCATGGACAAATAAAAAAACTCTTTGATTCCATAAATTTAGGTATTATCTGAGTTTTATTCACATTCTTTACTCTTTGTTATTTCACGTCTGATTAACATTATGTCTAACTAACTAGTTCTCTTATTGGTCTGTGGTCTTACTCTTTGTTTATTTCTTTTTGTATACATGCTTTAAACTCGATTTATATTTTTTTAATGTTTTATTCAAATATTTTTGATATATATATTATATTAATTTATATTTAGACATTCCTACAGATAGTTGTAACTGTACTACAAGGAAATCAGTACATATTTAAACTTACACATTTTCAAAAGCTTTAACGGACTCTCCAAGTAAAAGCAAGACCTAAAGATGTGTCGTTTAATGGACGCACTTTCACAAATACTAATACATGGATTACAAATGGCAGTGAGAGTAATCCTGACCATCCTCATTATGTTAGAGAATTTAATTCGAAAGCTCCTCCAAACTGTGTATAACTTCATAACGTTCCTGCTGCAGATAATATCTTTGCTACCGATCTGTTTAGTATTCATAGTGACCTCCCGTTTGAAATGCCTACTCTGTGGCGGCGGTGGATGGCCGTTTGCGAGAGGGGGCAATTTTGACTTCATCATGTCCTTACTCATTCTGATCACTGTAATATTTTTGTTGAAAGTGACGGGACTTCTTGATAAAATATTGTATATCTTAGGATACATGAAAATTGAACAACATAAATCAACAACCTTGGGTATTACTGATTATGTCACTGGTATGTATCATCGTCTATTAATGTCCCCTAGCGGCTCAGGCCTTCCTTACGGTAGGAATCTAATAGGCAGAATGGTCCGTTGGTGATGCCTAAGCAAAATCAACTTCAGACATAAAATATTACGCGATTTCAATTTTGAATGCATTATTTCACATTAAATTTGTAGTCAACGTCAGCTGAGCGCTTAGTGTAAGTTTTTTTGACGTTTACGTTTACTGTCGATCGTGAGCGCATTAAGATTTTAGTATGGAATCCGGTACTCCTACTAAGAAGTACAAGTCTCCATACAAATTACACTAAAACTTACACT